TGGGTGGATTGCAAGGTCAGGAGTTCGAGACCATTCTGACCAACATGGTGAAACCCCATCTCTACTAAATATAAAAATTAGCCAGGTGTGGTGGCACACGCCTGTAATCCCAGCTACTCAGGAGGCTGAGGCAGGATAATCGTTTGAACCGGGAGGCAGAGGTTGCAGTGACCTGAGATTGTGCCACTGCACTCCAGCCTGGGCAACAGAGCAAGGCTCTGTCTCAAAAAAAAAAAAAGAGCAACTTTATGTTTATATCTAACTTCACCATTTATAAGATACTTTCAAATGTTATTTGATTTTCCCAACAAACCTATAAAATACTTTGAGCAAGTATTTTATGCACAAATGATCTCATACCAAGCAGGTAAGAACAGGTATAATACCACATCTTATACTGATACACTTTGATTTATAAAATAGCTCTGTTTTGGAAATTAATTTGGAGGAATCTGATCATTTATAATCTGAGAAATCTGTACTAAGGGAGTCGACTCTTGACAGGAACTTGGCTAGTCATGTGAATAGATCTCCTTTAATCTAGTAGATATAATTTGTTAATAAGGATTGTTCCATAACCAATTCTCTTACATCAAGACATGCTTAGTGTTAAGGCACAGTAAAGGCTCCTGTGATGATGGCTCTGCACTGACCCCTAGTGGTGCCCTGCAGTCTCTCTCCTGCAGTTAATAGGAAAGGCAGAAATGAACACTTGAATTTGTTCTGCCATCTCTAGATCTGGTAAAGAGACCCTGAGCTAGTCAAAGATGTTTATGCTGAGGTATTATGTTGCCACTAAAACTTACTTTTCAAAGAATCTTTTGTCAGAGAAAATGTTTACAATTTAACATTAAGTGGGAAAAAAGATACAAACTATATGTATAGTGTTGTCCAAATTTTGAAATAGATATGCATATATTTTTTTGTTTGTTTTTGAGATGGAGTTTTGCTCTTGTTGCCCAATCTGGAGTGCAATGACACAATCTCGGCTCACCGCAACCTCCACCTCCCAGGTTCAAGCGATTCTCCTGCCTCAACCTCCTGAATAGCTGAGATTACAGACATGCGCCACCACATCTGGCTAATTTTTTTGTATTTTTAGTAGAGATGGGGTTTCTCCGTGTTGGTCAGGCTGGTCTTGAAGTCCCGACCTCAGGTGATCCGCCCTCCTCAGCCTCCCAAAGTGCTGGGATTACAGGCGTGAGCCACCGCACCCGGCCATATTTATTTAACATACTATATATATGAACTTTTTTTTTTTTTTTTTTTTTGGGGGAGGGAGTTTTACTAATGTTACCCTGGCCGGAGTGCAATGGCGCGATCTCGGCTCACTGCAACCTCCGCCTCCTGGGTTCAGGCAATTCTCCTGCCTCAGCCTCCTGAGTAGCTGGGGTTACAGGCACGCACCACCATGCCCAGCTAATTTTTTGTATTTTTAGTAGAGACGGGGTTTCACCATGTTGACCAGGATGGTCTCGATCTCTTGACCTCGTGATCCACCTGCCTCGGCCTCCCAAAGTGCTGGGATTACAGGCTTGAGCCACCGCGCCCGGCCTATATATGAACTTTTTAAAAAGGCTAGAAGAAAGTGTTCCAAAACATCGAAACCGGTTATCTCAGGGTAGTGATGTTATTACTGAGTTTTATTTTCGGTAATCATGTTTTCCTTTTTTTTCTTTCTTTTTTTTTTTTTTTCAAGAGATGGGGTCTCCCTGTGTTGCCCAGGCTGGTTTTGAATTTCTGGCTTCTAGGGATCCTCTTACCTCTGCCTCCCAAAGTGCTGGGATTATAGGTGTGAGCCACTGTGCCTGGCCTCCATGTTTTACTTTTATCAGGCAAAATATTTTAAAAAACAAAAACAAAAGCTAGTCTCACAGCATCTGAGAGTCTGGGAGTCAGGTGCATATTAAAGTCAGAGAAATGGTGTCTGGTGCTGGCTTGGCTTGCTTTGCCTTCTTGGTCATTGTCTTAGCAACATAAGATCACTCAAGGCCTTGAAGCCACCTTGGGCTTACCTTCAATTATCCTTTTAGTGGGATAGAAGTATCTTTGATAGGCTCTGTTCACAGTCTTGATTCCTATAAGGAGCACTCTTATGCATGGCTGCCTCCCCTCTGCTAGAGGACCTGAATGAATCAAAGAGGAACAGTAAAGACTCTGCCTCCAACCAACTGTGGAAATTCAGCCATGTGGTTATTTTTTTTTCTCTGAAACTTTTTTTAAAAATTTTTTTTATTTTTATTTTTATTTTTATTAAACCACTCAAGGCGGGGTTTCACCATGTTGGTTAGGCTGGTCTTGAACTCCCGACCTCAGGTGATCTGCCCGCCTTGGCCTCCAAAGTGCTTGGATTACAGGCATAAGCCACCATGCCCTGCCTTCTCTGAAACTTAACAGCAGTCAATACAGCATCAAACTCTAAGAGCCCCCAACTCCCAGACTTCTTTGAATCCCCTAAGACGCTTCTAGAGACATTCTGTGAAGAGAAAATAAAAGTAAGTCTGGCAAAAGGGAATGCTATGATAGATCCGAGTACTATTTTTCTTCACTTTCTTTCTTTTTTTTTTTGAAAAGTGCATGTGTGTGTGTGAGACAGGGTCTCATTTTGTTGGCCAGGCTGGAGTGCAGTGGCACAACCACTGCTTACTGCAGCCTCAACCTCTCAGGCTCAAGCAATCCTTCCACCTCAGCCTCCTTGTACGCCACCATGCCCAGCTATTTTTTGTTTCGTAAAGACGGGGTATTACTATGTTGCCAGGGTTAGTCTTCAACTCCTGGGCTCACGTGATCCTCCCATCTCTGCCTCCCAAAGTGCTGGAATTACAGGTGTGAGCCATCAGTTGGTGCCACACTACTCTTGACTAAAATTATTCTATGGCCAGCCAGTGAACAGGGCAGCATTTTGATTTATTCTTTTTATTTTTTGTGTATGTCCAAAAGGTAGCATTTATTGTCTTTCAAAAGGCAAACCTTACAGAAATAAATAACAACAAAATCCCATTTAATTCTACCTCCTAAGATACAACCACCATTAATAATCTATATTATTCCACTCTTGGGAGCCAGTCTGCTAGGGACCAAATTCTAGCTCTGCCAATAGCTAGCAACCTTGGAAAAGAATTTAACCTCTTTGTGCCTGCCTCTTTACCTGTAAAATGGGGGTAATGATAGTACCTATTACATGGAGCTGTTTTGAGAATTAAATAAGTTAATATATGTTAAGCACTTAAAACAGCACCTGGCAATAGTAAGCGTTCAATAAATGTTGGCCTTTTTCTCACTAATTGTGAATGAGCATTTTTTCTTTTCATTAAAAAATTCTTTTGGCCAGGTATGGTGGCTAATGGTCTCAAACTCTTGAGCTCAGGCAATCTGCCTGCCTCAGCACTTTGGCAGGCCATTGCCTGAGCTCAAGAGTTTGAGACTATCTTGGGGGCAAGATGGTGAAACCCCGTCTCTACTAAAATACAAAAAATTACCTGGGCTTGGAGGTGCACACCTATAATTCCAGCTACTTGGGAAGCTGAGGCAGGAGAATTGCTTGAACCCAGGAGGCAGAGATTCTAGTGAGATTGCACCACTGCACTCCAGCCTGGGCCACAGAGCGAGACTCTGTCTCAAAAAAAAAAAAAAAAAAAAATCCTTTTTTTAAATTGTGATGGGATCTTGGCATGTTGCCCAGGCTGGTCTTGAACTCCTGGACTCAAGTGATTCTCCTAAAATGCTGGGATTATAGGCGTGAGCCACATTGCCTGGCCACCATTTTTTTTTTTTTTTTTTTTAATAGAGACGGAGTCTCAGTATGTTGGACAGGCATATCAGGGTCTTGATACGTAGTTTTGAACTCATGGCCTTAAGCAATTCTGCCTCAGCCTCCCAAAGTGTTGAGATTACAGGTGTAAGCCACCACACCTGGCCTGAATAAGCCTTTTTTGAAACTGAAAAGTGATCACACTATACACTTTGCTTTAACCTTTTGTTTTTTTCTCTTCACAATATATCCTGGTTATCTTTTAGTATTAGTATGGAGAAGTCTCTTCATTTTTTTTAATAGCTGCATAACTTTTTTGGTGTTAATATGTCATAATTTAACCAGTCTTTTATCAATGAGTATTTGGAGTATCTATTTTTAAAAAGATGCTAGGGCCAGGCACAGTGGCTCACACCTGTAATCCCAGCACTTTGAGAGGCTGAGGTGGGGAGATTGTTTGAGCCCAGAGTTCAAGACCAGCCTGGGCAACATGGCAAAACCCTGTCTCTAAAAAGCATGCAAAAGTTAGCAGGGCATAGTGGTGTGTACCTGTAGTACCAGCTACTTGGGAGGCTGAGATGGGAAGATTGAGTCCAGGAGATAGAGGCTGCAGTGAGCTATGATTGCACCACTCCACACCAGCCTGGGTGATGGAGTAAGACTGTCTTAAAAAATAAAAAGTAGCCAGGTGTGGTGGCATGTGCCTGTAGTCCCAGCTACTGAGGAGACTGAAACAGGAGGATCCCTTGAGCCTGGGAGTTTGAGCTTGTGGTGAGCTATGACTGTGCCACTGTACTCCAGTCTGGATGACAAAAAGATCTTGTCTCAAAAAATAATTTTCATCAAATCAGGTGACAGATTTGTTGAATTAAAAAAAAATGTTTATACCAAATCTATTGAGCTATTCCCTAAGAGAACTGTTTTATTTGTATTTATTTTTCCCTATCTTATGTCCAGGTGTCCCCATGTTCTTGAAGTTAAAAAAGGAAAATGTGTAGCTGGTTTGTGATTGGGCTGCCCAATGGGACCAGTACTTTCTGAGACCCTGACCGCTGGGGGAAGGTATTTCCAGGTGCTTACTCAAGGATATCCACTCAGTGTAAAACCAGGGGAACAGGCTTGAGAATTTATAACCCAGCTGGGAAGCTTCACATGGGGAAAATGAAGAATGAGGAGAGAAACCAACATAGGGAAGATCAGCCAGGCGTGGTGGCTCACACCTGTAATACCAGCACTTTGGGAGGCCAAGGCAGGTGGATCACCTGAGGTTAGGAGTTGGAGACCAGCCTGGCCAACATGGTGAAACCCTGTCTCTACTAAAAATACAAAACTGCCGGGCGCAGTGGCTCATGCCTGTAATCCTAGCACTTTGGGAAGCCGAGGTGGGTGGATCACCTGAGGTCAGGAGTTCAAGACCAGCCTGGCCATAATGGTGAAACTCCATCTTAAAAAAAAATACAAAATTAGCTGGATGTGGTGGCACATGCCTGTAGTCCCAGCTACTCAGGAGGCTGAGACAGAAGAATCACTTGAACCCAGGAGGCAGAGGCTGCAGTGAGTTGAGATCACACCACTGCACTCCAGCCTAGGTGAGACAGAGACGCTGTCTCAAAAAAAAAAAAAAAAAAATACTACATATACCTAAAAGGGAACATTAAGGAAATTACATTCAATTATTAACATCTCCATCTGAGGTTCAGTTACTCATTTGACAATTATTTGTTTTGTAATATGCTATGAAAGATGACAGGCATGTTCATTTGAAAGCAGCTTCTGTCTTTGCTTAATTTGGCTGTTTTGTTTTGTTTGAGGTTCTGGTCTTGCTATCTAGGCTGGAGTGCAGTGACAGGATCATAGCTCACTGTAGCCTTGACTGCCTGAGCTCAAGCAGTTCTCCCACCTCAGCTGCTTAAGTAGCCTGGACTACAGGCACACAACACCACACCTGGATAATTTTTAATTTCTTTTTGGAGAGACAGGATCTAACTATGTTGTGCAGACTGGTCTTGAACTCCTGGCTTCAAGCAATCCTCCCTCCTTAGCCTCCCAAAATGTAAGGATTATAGGCATGAGTCACCACACCTGGTCTCTTTATGCATATTTGGTTAAAGACAATTATTAGAGAGCAGGACACGTGCTTTGATGAAGAAAATACTGAGTGCTCTGAGAGCATGTCTGAGGGTCTTTACCTGGACTTGGAGGTATCTCTCTGGGAAGGCTTCTTGGAGGGAATGCTGTTTAGGCTTAGTTCTTCCCTGAAAGAATGGAGGCGGGAGCAGAAGTGAAGAGGATTTCATACAGAGAACATACACATGCAGAGGTATAGAAGCAAGAGAAAGTCATATTTCAGGAATTGCTCATGGTTCCAGGTGCTTGAGCATAGAATTTGAATAATGGGGTTAACTATTATTGTTAAGGTGGGAAATGGAAGGACTTGTGGCTGGGGAAGAAGGAATGTGTACTTAAGAAGGACCTTCTTAAGTACATTCACATATTTGACTTATCCTAAGGGTGATGGGAAATGTAAAGCTTTTAGGGAGGGTATGGTAGAATCAGGTGTCCATTTCAGAAAGATCACTCTGTGATGTGAATGTATGTTGAGAGGCTGTTATGCTTAAGTAATGCAGGTAAGATGATTTTGGTGGTTTGAACTAGGGTAGTGAAAGGGGATGGGAGAGGAATGGACAGATTGGAGACTTCTTTCAGATTGGCTGTAGGGGAAAGGACATGGAGAGAAAGAGCTCTCTGATCATTTGAAGGTATCTAACTTGGGGAGCTGGAGATGGACAGAGGAAAATAGAACTATGGGGGAAAATGATTTCAGTTTGGACCCAGAATTCAAGGTTCCTGTAGGACACCCATGTTTGTGGAGCTCAGAAGAAAGACCTCTTTAAGCTAGAGATACAGCTGAGATTCTGGAATCCTCAGCACATATGGTAACTGCAGTGTGGGAATGTTTGAGATGGTTGGTTGAGACACAGACAATGCAAATGAAGCCACAAAGAAGGCAGTTGTAAAAAAGGTAGAAGGTAAATCAGAAGGTTCTTTACAGCTAAAGACTCAGGTAGATTTACTACAGTTCTCTACGTATGAGGCACTATTCTAAGTGCTGGTGATAGAGCAGTAAGCTGAACAAAATTCCTGCTCCTGCATACTTTATGTTTGTGGTACTTGGAAACAAATAAGTATATAATTTTAGCCACTGAGAAAAAAAGGGAGAAATACACAAATACAGAATGATGGAAGGGGCCAGGTGCTCATGCCTGTAATTCCACCACTTTAGGAGGTCGAGGTGGGCGGATTGCCTGAGGTCAGGAGTTTGAGACCAGCCTAACCAACAGGGTGAAACCTTATCTCTACTAAAAATACAAAAATTAGCTGGGTGTGGTGGCAGGTGCCTGTAGTCGCAGCTACTTGGGAGGCTGAGGCAGGAGAATCGTTTGAACCCAGGAGGTGGAGGTTGCAGTGAGCTAAGATCAGGCCACTGCACTCCAGCCTAGGTGATGGAGCAAGACTCCATCTCAAAAAAAAACAAACAGAATGATGGAAGGGAGGGGCCATTTTAGATGGGATAATTAGAAATGACTTAAAAGCAGAAGTTTGAGCAGAGACCTGAATGAATTGCAGAAATGAGAACATCTTGGGGAAGAGCATTCCAGGCAGAACAAATGGCAAGTGCAAAGGCCCTCGGGTGAAAAAGCTTGGTAGGTTCAAAGAATAGAAAGAAGGCCAGAGTAGCTGTAGGACAGTGATAGAGGGACAAGATGCCATGATCCGCCTGCCTTAGCCCCCCAAAGTGTTGGGATTACAGACGTGAGCCACCACGCCCAGCCTTAAAGATTTTTTTTTTAAAGGCTCAACTCTATCTGACAAAATCTTATCCCTTAGTATTTAATTTCTCTTCTTAGGGAGAATTTAAATTTAAGTAATTAAACTTTTTTCCTGGCAGGGGTAGATCATGAAAAAAAGGTTGAGAAACACTGGCCTAGTGCAAGAACATAGCCTCTGGGAGTCACACATGCTTGGTATGAATCCTGGCTCCACTACTTGGACACAGTGCTTAATCTCTCTGAGCTTCACTTTCATCATTTAAATGCCCACAGTATTAGCCTAATAACCTAAAGTACTTGGAAAAATTAAATGCAATGACATGTCTGTTATATTGATAAATAGTAATTTTCTTTCCCCTTTACCCCCCCTTTCAAGAATAGAGATTATTATAGTTAAGGAACTCCAATAAACTGGGTAGAGACCGAGTCAAGTGGGAGTATGGGAGGCTTAAGCTTGTTGGAAGAAAAAGAAAACAGGACAAGGGGGCTGATTAAACATAGAGGTGAGTGTAAAGAAATAGGGGAGGTCGGATGTGGAGGATGATGCCTGTAATCCCAGCACTTTGGGAGGCTGAGGCGGGTGGATCACCTGAAGTCTGGAGCTCTTGAGACCAGCCTGGTCAACATGATGAAACCCTGTCTCTACTAAAAACACAAAAATTAGCTGGGTGTGGTGGCGTGCGCCTGTATTTCCAGCTACTTGAAAGGCTGAGGCAGGAGAATTGCTTGAACATGGGAGGCAGACTGGATGACAGTGCTAAACTCCATCTCAAAAAATAAAAAAGGAAAAGAAAAGAAACTGGGGAGAGCTCAAGGTAATTCTTATGGGATTTGACACTCAAAGCAAAGTCACCACTAAATGTTCTTTAGTGGACAGTGGACAATGGCATCTGAGGAAGATTATTCTGGAGCCTGACATACTACAATAAACAGAGACCAGAGAAAGGAGCCTACATTAACTGTGGTGGCCTTGGAATCTGAAGATCTGGGTGTATAAAATGTTGAACAATGAGAAGGTTGGGGAAATTAATTATGGTCCCTCTTAATTCTGAAACATCATGCAATCAGTACAGTTGTTTTGGAATGGTATTTGATGGCACGGGAAAGCACTTAGCATAAAATGTAAGCATCCGACAAAACAATATAAAGGCATTTCTGTCAAATGCCTATCTAGGTAGGAAATAGAGTGGGTTCTTTATTTTCTTTTCCATACTTTTCTGCATTTTTCAATTTTCCTACAAAAAAGCTTGTGTTGCCTTTATAAGAAAAAAGTTATTTTCTGAAAGAACCTCTGGCGGAAGTTACAGATTTCCAGGGACCCACATGCCAGCACTACCCAGCCTCAGTGGCCTGAGGAACCTAGACCGGAGGGTGTGGCCTTGGAGGTGTGAGACTCAGGGAAAGCGGGGCTGGGCGCGGCCGCCCCTACCAGGGGCAAGAGCAACGTCAGGACCCGAGGACCAGCTGCGGGATGGGGCCGCAGAGGTGGCCGCGCGCCGGGAAGACCCTGGCCGCGCTCAGGCCAGACCGTCCCCGCTCGTTACGCGTCCGGTGCAGGGCACAGGCAGGAGCAGGACGCCAGCCTGTGGAACCACGCAGATCGCCGGGGTCGCCGAAAACCCCGGAGGCGGAAAGCCCGAGGGCCCACTCCAGCCGCCTACTCCTCACCTCGGCCCCAAAGTAGCCAGCGGGGAACTGCGCCAGCCCGCTGGTCCGCCGAGCTTTCTGCGACTGGAGGTGGGAATGTGGGAGGAGCCTTGCACCGGAGCTGTGATTGGAGCAACCAACGCCGCCCAATCTCTCCCAAGACTGGGAGACAGCGCCAGAGAGGGATGCGCAGAGGCGGGGACTCAGAGGCCTCTATGTGATTGGCTAGCAGCGCAGGGAGCCGGGCGCTGTCCCGATGATTGGCAGGCCCTAGACAGCACTCGGAAACCGCCTAGGCTTCGCCCATTGGCATCCTGCGAGAGTAGGCGGGATTGGTTCATCGTGTGGTGCTGATGATTAGCTGACGGCTGAGAGTTAGGGTGTTGGGAGAGAGCTGGGGGACGGCGGGGGCGGCCAACTTCCTTCTTGTTATTGGCTAGTGAGGGGGTGGGGGTGGTGCGACGGCCCAGGAGCTGCTTGGGATTGGTGGCCGCTGGCGTGAGTGACAGACAGGGGGGCGAGCTGCGCGACCAGCGGTTTGTTTTTCGGAGCGTTCCTGAGGTGGAGAACGGTGGCCGGACGGAGCAACTGTGGGTCTGAGGGACTGGCGGGCGGGCGGAGCGGCGCTGCCGAGGCTGGGTTGGGCCGACCCCGGAACGCCCGGGATGTAGCGGGCCACCCTGCCCATGCCACAGCGCCCGGCCGCGGGCGGAGCCGGAGCCGGAGCCTGGGGAGGCGGCGGGGGCCCCGAGCGCAGCCCGCGCCCCCCCGCGCGGAGCCAGGCCCGCTGCCGTCCCCGCCGCCCGGGACCCCGGCATGCAGCCCCGGCTGCGGAGGTGACATTCACGGGCCCGAGACGCCGCCGCCGCCATCGCCACCATGGGTAAGTGTCGCCACCGCCCCGGCCTGTGCCCGCGCTGCTTCGCGACGCCCCGCCCCGGGCTGAGGGAGGAGGACCCTGGGCCGCCGCCTGACAGGCATGGACAGCCCTCCCGGCCAGGGGCTGCGGACCGCCGGCCGCCCGCCCGCCCGCCACTGTAGCGCGCCGTGGCCGGGGCGGGGGTTCTGGCTCCTCGGGCCCGCCGGGGTGATCTGGCCGGCAGAGCCCGCTCGGCAGCCTTCCTTCCGGGCAGAGCGGCCGGCGCATCTCTGGGAAGCGGCGGCGGGACCTAGGTCCTGTGCTCAGCGGGGCAGCCTGGCCGGAGCGAGCCGGACCGCGAGCCCGAGGGCGGGGGAGCGAGAGCGCAGTGTGGGGCCCGGGCTGGAGGCTGCAGCAGGCCCAGCTGCTGTTGTGTCTTTTCCTTGATTTGCTTTTTTTTCCTGCCTGTGTCATTTCCTTCCCTTTGCTCACACAGGCCGGCCTGTGAGAGTTCCCGGGGCTTGCTCTCCAGCCCTGTGCGCGCCACAGCGCAGGGGGGAGGGGGTGCGGGGCTCGGCTCGGAGGCGATTAAACGGGAATCTGATCAAGCGCGCGGTTGACAAATGCGTGCTGCGTGCAGATTGCTGGGGGTCAGGAGTTGGTCGGATGCTGCCAGTTAGAATTCACATCCTACTTTTTGAAAAATCCTTTTGCAGTGTTTTACGTCCATTATTTTTATCTTGCAGTATCCCTGAAATTATGTAAGGTTTGAAAGAAACGTTTGCTACACAAAAGAATTTCTATGAAATCATTTCCTTTTTGTCAGTATTTGCAATTTCTGCTGTGAAGATGTAATCTAAGAAAAGCTTTTAATGTCTTCCGCATGTAGCGTTGGAGTTGAATTATATTCCATATCGTTTTCGGTAATTTAGCAAATGACTACTGGACTAGGCTAATAAATAACATTTTAAACGTTCTTTACATCTCCTAGCCAGACAGGTGATACTGTTGTCACAAGTTTTGCAAAATATTTGGCATTGGCCTAAATAATAATAAAAGAGTAAACTTAAGTGAGAGGATCCTTTGCAAAGCCTTCCATTGCTTCTGTGAAGTGCCCCACGTGAAGAGGGAGTCTTAATGTTTGCCTTGCCCTATAGTAAGGTCAAGTCATTTTTGTAGGAGGTTAACTGTATGCTGTGTCACTTTCACCAGGTATTGTTTTGTGATCCATCTCTACACTCTGGCTTTGAATGAATTGCCTTGTTCTGGTTCGTGCTGTCCCTCATACAGTATGAGAAGGGTTTGTTCATTTGCTGGGCTTACTGTTTCCTTTCCGTATTTTCCTTCAGAAGTGCGTGCTCTTCTGGGGAAGGTCTGCTGTGAGGGTGGGCATAAAAGAAACCCAATAAGGCTTCGTATTTATATATAATTCAAGAAATATTTATTGAATTTGTTTATAGATGAGACACAGAATTCTTGTCTTCCCCAGGATTCAAACATTTATCTTGTTTTATAGAGTTGGAATAAATCTTCAAATTGATTTATGAGCCTCTATTGTGACAGTCTTTCTTACAAGTCTTCTTTCTTGTCAGTTGTTAGTCCCAAAGGAGAGTGTGAAATACTTAAGGGTATGTAGAACATCCACTTCCTACTTTCTTGACTGCCACACTAGAGTGCTCGCATGTGTTGACTACATATCATTATTTAACATGAAAATAGATGTGAACCTGTTCACATTTCGAGACATTTTCAAAACGTTTATAAGTGTGTGAGTATATTTCCTCCCCAGTGATGGGGAGGAAAGAAACTACTGTATATAGGCTGGGTTTAGAGCTCCAAAGGAAAAAGGGCCAGGACCTCAGGACCTTCTCATTTGTCCCTCATCTTCTCATTTGTCCCTCATTTGTTCCCATGTCAGTTGTCCCCATGTCAGTTTTACATGAAGAAACAGACAGCAAGAGGAATTAACTTGCCTGGTGGCTGTAGTATATTAGACAAGATAGTTTAAGAACCACTGTGCTGGCTTTCTTAACTTTCCCCTGTACTGTCCTCCCCATATTATTTGTGAGGGAGAGTGGATGACCTTGATACGCTATTAGAGCTAATGTTGAATTCTCCTTGACACCTGGCTCTTTAATTTGCTTTTATGGAGCTCAGTGAGGATGTATATACACAGATACACTCACACACAGTCTTTCTCTTAAATACTAGTTTCCATTTTGGTGATGAAAATTCGAATTCCCAGTTTAATTAGCTTGTTTTTAGTTGCTGTAGTTCTAAATAAGCTCAAAGGATTGGTAAGAGAGAAACATAGGCTTAGTATTTTAGTTATACTTGTTAAACTCTAGCCTTGTGAAGAGATGACTAAAACTTATTTGAGTCTCTGCCCTTCAGGTTCTTTGGTTAAATAAGAGTCATGTTTTCCTGAGCTGTTCTAAGCCCAAGATTGAAGCCTGTTTGACAACTTGGGTTAATAAAAACAGGTCAGATTTTATATTGTCTGTTAGCCCCAGTAAATTTCTAGTGGCAACTATTTATCTCTGTAAATAATAGGATTTTTTTTTTTGGCTTTGATACATAATGTGATTATAAAAAATTGGGATTGACTGGTTGTTTTTTCTTGGTCACACCAGAATTCATTTCCAGATTTAGTAATTATAGTGGCAAATGCTGTTCATAATACCTGAGATTGTTTATGTGGTCTTTTTATAAATGTAGTCTGGAACTTACTGGGATATATCACTGAAAAATATGTAACAACTTGGAAATGTTACAGGAAACTATAGTGAATGGAGTACATGATTACAGATAGTCTGGTTCTAGTTTGATGTCAGTATCATTGTGACTTTCAGTCACCTTGTCTAGGATTCCGAGGTTGTTGGGAGCTCCTTGTTAGAACAGTCTCAATTCAGTTTGGCTAGAATCTGACTACCTCTGTAGACTCTGAATAGTTAGCAGCTGTTTTGACTGAAACTTGAATCACAGTTTGAAAAATCAACATGACTATGTCATCA